ATAAACTAAATTCTCACATCATATAGTCGGTGTGACTAAGCATCTCAATTTATGCACGGCGGGGAAGGTCCTGTTAAAGATGGAAAAGTTCAAGGCAACTCACTCTACATCGGGTACCTCCGCTAGTTGATAATATATTGATAAGAATTAAATTCTAAATTATTTTCTAATAAATTTAATTTTTCATTGACTAATTCTTTTAATTTGACAAAAGATTCAATTTGTTCAGTTGAATATTTTATAAATCCGTTGTCTGATGCAATTTCTTTATAAATATCTTTATAAATAGACTGTTCATTTTCTTTTGATAACATTCCTTCGTCATCAAACTTCCGATTTTTCAGTATGTCAATTAAATTTTGTTTAATTAATAAATGATTTCGAATTTCAAACTTTATAATATCTCGAAAATAAATCGTAAATTTGTTTTCATTATTCTTTAATACGATAATTTTATATCCATTCTTTATTTGCATTTCATCAATATCATTAATCTGTCTGGAAATTAAATAAATAACACATATTTTTTTATTGTAGTCACTTTCATTTAAATCAATTTTTTTCCTTGGTATTTCATTCTTATTCTGATTGATATTTATACATTTTTGTAATCGTAATTTTTCATAGAGATTTTTGACATTTTGAATAAAATCATTAACATCTAACTTTTCCACTGTATCAATATCATTTAAAAAGTTAATATTTGTTCGTAAATTCATATTTTTATATAACAAATAAATAGTATTTTCACATTTATCTTTATTCAATAATAAATCATCTAAATTGATTTTTATTTTCATCTTTTGATCTTTTAAAAATAAATTTAATTTATTTAAAAAGATTTTTTTATTTTCAATGACATAATTGAAATCGTACTCTTTGATATTAATTAAATAATTATAAAAATTCCTAAATCCTAAATCGAATCCTAAATCTTTCACCAAACACACATATTCGGATTTGGTACATCCGTAGCAGAAGGAATTTATCGATGAGAATTACACAAAATTCGGGAAATGTTGCATTTGTGTGGCAGTGTAGTTGAGCAATCTCCTTGAATACAGAAGCCCCAAACATCAGATATAATGGTAAATATACAATCAATAGAAGAGCTATCAAGGGGGAAACAGCTGATTTTTCAGCTTGAAAAATCAGTTTAAATCGAAAATCGGTTAAAATCGCAAAAAATCATTAAAAATCGGTTAAAATCCTAAAAAATCATTAAAAATCGATTAAAATCGCAAAAAATCATTAAAAATCGCTCAATATTGTTAAAAATCGCTCATGATTTTATCTTTTTTTTCTTTACTTTCACTATATCTAATTACTATTTTATACAAATAAAGGAGGTTCTGCACTATTTATCGCAGTCTTTTTACTTGATTTCCCAAACAAATCATAAGAAATCGGAAAAAAAGATAAAATCATGAGCGATTTTT